TAGTATATAATTATTTAAAATTATCACTTAAGTCCCTTAAAAAAATTAACTAAAAATGGAAATGTTGAATGAATGGTGAAATTTATGATTAATAGAAAAGCGTTTATGCACAATTGAAATTTCGAAATTTCTTTTTATTGATAAAAATATAATTATTTAGTATAATCGCAGTTTAATGATGTTGATAATGCTTAAGATTGCCGCCTCTATACCATAAATAAGTGTTGAAGTTGGGTCAAGGAGATAAAAAACATGCTGATCCTTTTAAGCTCTATTAACATTCTTTTGAAATTCTGCTAGACATCAGAGCGCTCGAAATATATTATGAAAGAGGCAAAATTGTTTGATTCTTGCGGACTGATAAGTTGAGGACTCGAATCGCTGACAGCTTGAATCGCAGATTCATTGAAAGAGAGAGTGAGAGACAGAGAGAGCGAGAGAGAGGGAGTGAGTGAGGTACAGACAGAGATGAAGAGCTTTTAAAGCGTTTGCCGCATTAATTTTGCTAATCCTGTTGCGCTTTTACCCAGGAAGAAGATGATGATGATGCTGATGATGATGGCCATGGCCATGGCTGAAGCAGACACTGAGGGATATGCTGAGACAGCAGCGTTCAGCGTTCAGTGTTCAGCGTGCAGCTCAATGGTCATGCCGACTGATTTTATATGGTTATATTTCTGACTTTTGACAGGAACAAGGCTCGTTTGTCGCCACGGCGGCAAAGTGTTGTTGCCGTTGCCATTCCCAAGGAATGTCAGCCCGATGTTGTTGTCAAATTAACACACAATGCGCCAGCTAATACATTATACAATATGCGACCCAGCCGCTGGCCACATTTCCCAGAAGTTATAGACACTTTTTGCGCGGCCAATGAGAGCCCCACATATCAAGTTAAGCATAGCAACAAATGTACATATATCAACTGTATATATATATCACGCTTCCTCTCCTTCTCCCTCTCCCTCTCTGGCTGGCATCGTAAATAATATCAATCGTGTAAGTAGCTGCCAGCACTTAAGAACAATTCGGTTAATCACTTAATTTATGCGAATGCTACAAATCGCAACCTTGTTGCATGCCACGACAGGGCAAGGCAGGGCAAGGCACGGCAAGGGCTGGGGGCAAGCTGCTAATCCTTTGGTTAGATGTAGAGTATATATATGTGTGTGTTTGTGTGCGTGGTTGGGGGACCTTGGCTAATAAACGATCATTTAATAAGCGCTTTAATGCCAAATTTACGATCGTTTTATTTGCATAAATTACCAAAGTTGCCAACTGTATGCACATTAATTTCCCAACTAAATTGCCAATAAAATATTATTTATGTTGTATGCGAAAAATTGCTGAATGCCGGCACAACAACCAAATGAGACGACTCTATAGGCAGGGATCACTGTGAGTCGCAGGCAGCGAACTTTATGAGCTTCGCTTGGCCTCTCGCCTGCTAATAGAGCCATAAAACTCGAGCCACTCGACTCTGATATCGGGGAGTGCTAAATTGGTTGTTCTAGATAGGACAGAAACAAATTGGGCTTTGTACACGATAACGTGACGAGCCCTAATTGAAATTGTAATATTCTCTAAAAAAAAGTAGATCCACTATAAATAGGGCAAGTGTGCTGCCAAATAGACAGTTCCTTCTTGGAAATGATTACGATTGTCAAGTTTAGTATTGTGCTTGTGGTCGGTATAGAGAGAAATTCAAATCCTGTCGGAGCTAATACTCTCATGTCTTTCTAGCTCGTGGCACAGCTGCTGACTGGCACAGCTGCGGAGGCTGCAGTGGGCGAGTTGCTGGGATTAGTTGGCAATGTGGGCAGCACGCTGTTGGAGCCGGTTGTCTGCCTGCAGCAGTCGGCGTTAACTGTCCTTCAACAGGTGCTGGGCGATCTTGGACTCGGTTCATTGGCCACACAGGTGGCAAATCTGCTGACACCGTTATTCGATCAAATTAACGGTCTGCTTACACAAATTTTGGCTGCCCTCTAAATGCTGCTCAAAATATGAATAAATTATAAGAAGGCAAGCTGAGCATAAGTTGAGTTGGTTGATATTACTATACATCTAAAGGGGGGATGGCGTGGATGAGTGGGGTGTGAGATTTTATTTATACTTTATAGGAATTCCGCCATATTGCTTCTATATATACGCGGAAAGATGGCTGCATCAATCGGATACATCTTCAACAAACTAAAAAAAAAATTCATTCACTCGTCTTTTGTATTCCTCAAAAAGTATCCACAAAAAAAAAAAAAAATCACCCAGCCACACTTTAATGTCGATGCTCACATGAGAAAGTATAATCATTTTGACAGAATTTACTCGGAAACCTCATCAAGCGACTTCCTAGACGTGCCACTTGCTATTGCCACTTGGTCGCAGGATAAAGTGAGCTGTAGTTCAGTTTTGATTATCTGTGTGTGTGTGTTTTATTTTATGTGTGCTCTGGCGATGCAAAGCGATAAGGCCGACATCGGGCTGCGCTTTAACGAGCACATAATCGTAAAAAACATGTCCAGTTCAGATTCAAAGATCCCAAAGACAAGAAGCTGCAACAAGTGACATTCGGTGGACAACTGGAGCGAGCAGCCATAAAGCATATTAGTTTAATGTTCCGCAGTTAGTTCATTAAAAACTCGACCCGATTCTCTTTAATTGTCGTCGCTCCGTCTAAGAACCGGCTCAGAGTTAAAGGGCGTACCGCCGCCGTCCGTTGGGCCTAGAGCGCGCTGTCGTAGGCTTAGTTAGTTTGAAATTTGGCAAGAAATTTGCCGACCTTAGAATGGGATGGGGATGGAGATGAAGATGGAGATGGGGATATATATGTATATGTCGATGTGGAGCGCTGTGTGGTCTGTGCTGTCTAACACTGATCTCATGTCCATCGGACGGCCAATTTGCGCTGGAAATGTGTGCCACATGACAAGCAATTAAGCCCGGACCCGGCCAGTGTCAGAGTGCGTACGTGCCCTGTGCCCAGGCCGGTGGGGTACAGTGAACCCGCGCGAAAGCTATAAATTTATGACAAATTTTCAAAAGAAATGAACGCACTGCGTGTGGCTCACCATTCGCACTGTTGTCCAGCTTGGAGCTTGGAGTTTGGAGACGTGGCGGCACTTAACACCACGCATCATTTTAATTATTTATTTGGTCATAAAACAGTCGAAGCTGGAGGAGGCGGCTGCCTGGCTGGCTGGCCGTTTTGGGCTGCTCAACTTTCGGCACAGTTTTCGCCGTTGTTTCGCTTGTGCTGCAAATCGTTAAATTTAACAAATTGCCAACGATTTTTATCGCGCCCGGCCCTGGAACATCCATAGATTGTGAATGCTTTTATTTCTTATATATTTTTTTGTGTCTTTCTTTTTTTGACTGCCCAACAAATTTATTTATGAGCAGTGCAAACATATTTCAGCTTTTGTTGCTCTTCCCAGTCAGCGACCATAACGCATAATTGGTCCTCGAGTTATGAGTTGAGTGGAGTAACTAAATGAATCACGTACTCCAAGCGGTCGTGCGATTCAAATCATTTTAATTAAACCAACAGCTAAAGCTCAAATTTATGAGAGCTATCAAATGACAATGCATAAGATCGATTAATTAATTTCAAAATAACAATGCACAATCTATATAAATATTGTATGAAAAATAAAACTAACACTTCTCACACAAAGTTCGTTTCCTAAGTCTTTTGAATTTCCAGGTCATTTGGCACACTTTTACTTGATCTGGCATTTAGCTAATTGAACAACTTCGCATTAGGCACTGCGCAACGATCTTAAAGCGTTTGGCTTAATGCCTTATTAAAAAACCTAATTAAAGCGTAAAAATTTTTATTTTAATAATTTCGAAGCTGAAGTCTCGGCTAATCGTTTCGCTAGCTATACATATGCAATGACTGCAACAACAACAACAACAACGTCTGCTCGCTGAGCAAATAAAACTTGTTAGACGCCTCTTGGCTATGCGAGGAACAACTACAACTACAACTGCTACAACGACAACTACAACAGCCATACGCAGTGGCAACAACAACAAGAACAGCCAAATACGAGTACTCATATGTTAACTGAGAAATAACCTGTAATTATAATAATTATCTGTAAATTATATGGCGCATTTACAATTGCACACGATTTCATGAGCTTGTCATAAAAATTTAAAACAGTTAACTTGGCTTCTTTTTATCTCTGCCAGCCAGCCGCCATATTTCACTTGTGCGAGGAGCAGCTCGGCGAATAGCTGCACTCACCAACCAACATTTCCTTGGCTACTTGACTTTGCTAAATTCCACTGTAGAAAATTTATGTTGATATTTATTTAATATTATTATTTACCTAAGAATATTAATTAATTTAATATTACCTTATATAATATTGTTTTATTTATTTATTTTATTTTTTATTTTTGTACAATTTTAATATTTTATATATTTATTTAATGAGTAGAGCTAAAGTATTTAATGGAATTAAAGCAAAGGAGTTACTTATCAGATTATACTTTATTGTTATATTAAGAATAACGGAAATTGGAATTTTAATATATATAACTAAGTATAATATAAATACAAAAAAAAAAAACTTTAACAAATAATAAATTGCAGGAAAAACTGCATATATTGACTTAGAATAAGGAAATAAGAGCCAAGTTATCAGCTAAATTTATACTCAAATATTTATTCGATGTAACCATAACCTAATTTAATTTAATTATAAAAAAATACATATATTCAGTTTGTAATAATTTAATTTAATTAAATAAGCTTTACTTCAGAATTAATTTAATAATTTTGTTCAAATAAATATTAAACATTATTCATAAATTACATTTTTATATATACAAATATATAATTTTTTATATATAAAATATAAATATAAACATTATTCATAAATTACATTTTTATATATACAAATATATATGTATATTTATTTAATATTATATTAGTTTTTATTTAATTTTATTTAGAGGTGAGTTAGCTAATAAAGTTATTAGAGTATTTATATTTTAATCATTATAGTTTGTTATTAAATTTAAATATCCATGAATTTAATTTATAAATGCAGTGTGATCATAATCATTAGCTATGCAAACCAGTTGAGAACTGTGAGTATGCCTGTACACTTATTTAAGCAATTTGATGCGTATGTATACCCCATTTATGGCAGTGTATGCACTCCGTGCCGTGTGTTTTTGTAATGGATTATAATCACACAGTTGCAGTTTATACAATCGGACATTAAAAACGTGGTCATAGCTCCATTTGGACGAAAATGAAATCAAATCTCTTTCGTATGTGAAACTGTCGCACACTTCTGGCCCATCCGGTTAGCGGCTAGTGGAGGCCGAAGTTACGCTGCTGGAGCTGGGCCTGTGACAGTGACTTGGGGACTGGGGCTGGGGCTGGGGCTGGGGCCGTGGCCGGGGCTGAGGTTGTAGCCAAGTTGAGCACTCGCTAGATCACTCGATTCCCCATAATTGAAACGGGTTTGCCACAAGTGAGCATGTTTTTTGTGTAATTCGACGTCGTCGTCATCGCCATGGACGATGTTTCGCAGTTGAGTGTCGGTTATAAAGTAATTAGCCTCAATTTAACGTTTATACTCGGTTGATTATGATTATGTTAATTATATTATTTTATGCGACAGTTTGGCGGACGTCATCCGCTTACAGTGAAAACCAGACGAACGCAATTCCAGTTTGCCTGACACCGATGAACTCGAAAGTGTGACATACGACCATTAATTACGACTTTTGTAGTTAGCCAGCCAGGCTAGCTAGCTAGCTAGCTTGCCAACACCACAGAAATGCCAAAAGACCGTTGCCAAATGATGAGCTGGCAGTCAATTGGCCCCGAGGTACGCGTAGGCGCGCGATGTGCAGTCCAGCCAGTGCTGTCATGGGAACTGCAGCCATTTGCTGCACAGGCCGCACATAAATAAGGCGGACAACTCGCATGCAGAACAAAAGGAGCTGCTGCAGAGGCAGCTACTGGGCAGAGTCAGAGAGAGCTGAATTCGTACAGGTGAGCAAAAGTCGACACTTTTGCCAAGTTTGCTTATAATTGAAGTGCGATTTCTGGCAAAGATTGTCTCGCATTTTCATTAATCAAGCAGCAAGTTTGTTGCCTAAGTCTTTCGTTGGCTGACTGGCTGAGTGGTTGGCTGCTTGCCTAATGGCTTTCTATTAAAAACTACTTTTATTAATTAAGCAAACAACATAATTTTCTTGTAAATTGCTGCATCAGCGCCAAATCATGGCAGCTGCAGTCGGCGCTGCCGTCGGCCACGCTAATTATACCAAAGCATCTGCATGAGCGGATAACTAAGCGAAGCCCCTGGAAACCAAACTGAGGCCCCGTCGACGTCAGACACCTGATGCTGTTGCTGTTGCTATAGCTGCTGCTGCTGCTGGTGCTGCTGCTCTTGGTGAAGCTCAACGTTAAAATTAAAACACGATAAATGAGTTTAATAATGGCGGCAATTAAACGGCTACACGGCTGCACCACGCACCAAGCACCACGCACCACGCTCCAAGCTGCGCACTCTGCTGAGGCTGGGATAACAGCTTTGGCATCAGCATCGGCATCGGCATCGGCATCAGCATCAGCATCAGCGTCTCAATTACCGCTGCTCTGCATGGCGCTTCACGGTTGAGAAATTCGACGCCACTTTCAAAAACGCATCACTCAAATGTTGTAAGGCGTTGAGGCTTGTTATGTGCCCACAGTCGTTACAGATATCCAAAACAAGTAGAAGGAGAATTGAGCAGCTGTATCTGTATCTCTATCTGTATCTATGTCAGTGTCTGTGTTTGTATCTGTATCTGTTTCTGTGTCTGTTTCTATACGGTTGCTGCATGTACACGTTGTGCTTGGGAAACCAAGCGCGCTCGAAAACTCATCAGCAATTTATTAAAACTCATCAATACTCATCAAAATGCCTCCGCTATAGAACCTCAACTCCAACTCCAACTTCTCCGATTCGAACACGAAGCCCAAAATGAATGCCTGCGGTTAATTTAGCGCAGTTCAATGCGAGTTCGGCTAACAACAAAATTGAAATATGTTTGAATATCTTTATTTTATTTTCGTCTTGCGCTACCCAAACTATTGAGCATTTGGGCATTTGTGTTTGGCCAAGCATTTTGTTACCACTTATGCTAGAAACAGTAAGAATAATATAAATAGCTTGTCCTTATTAATTGGGTTAGCCTTAAAAAAAAAAAAATAATTTAATATATTTAAACATTTTATTTATTTCTAAAGAAAGTTCATACTTGTAGCAGCTATGCACAAGAAAAATTGATGTCCGATAAAAGGGGGGAACTCACGACAGTGTATAATATAATGTTTCTAATTAAACTATGGGGTAGACTATGATATTATTACTATACTGCTTCGGTTTGGACGGATAATACAAAATATCACAAATTGAAAATAACAAATGAAGCGAATCAAATTACTATAGACTATATATATATATATATATTATCTGCCCTGATACAATTTTACCATTCCATTCTATAACAAAAGCAAATATTAGGCTAGTAGACGATAAGCTAAATTTTTAATATAAGTTTAAGTGTTTATTTTTTCATTAAAAAAATATTCATAAAATAATATTATTTATTTGCAGCTCAGATTTGCTTCGTCTACTTCCAACTGCTTTGGTCGCTTGTTAGTCATTTGTCTGCATTTGCAGCTCATTTGTTTGCTTGGCTTGTTCAGAGTGCGCCGAACAAAATGTTTTGCATATGTCAGAGAGACGCATAGTCCGAGTCAGTGTCCAGCGCCGCATGCCCATCAATCTGGGGCATCAATTTGGGAAATGCATCAAAGTTGGCAGCCCGAACAGCTTGATTAGTTGTACGGCTCACAGGCAGCAACAACAGCAACAGCAACAGTAACAGCTACTACAACAAGAACAACAACAACATTCGTTGCATGTGGCTCATTAGTTTGGTGCCGCTGAGGAGGCTGTGAAATTGGGAATCGTCTGGTGTCTACATCAAAATTAAGTTTTAATAATTGGCTCACATTTATATGCTGGCTTAATTTGATTGTGCCGTCGAATGTTTTCGACTGCGATCAATTAATCATAGCTCGTTGATTGTTCTTCTTTCAGCTCTGCTCTGGGCAGTGGGCGTGCCGGTCCTAATGAAGTTGTGCCCACAGCTCTCCTACAGTCCCAGGAGCGAATGATGCCAACTCGTTAAGCGGCTGTTAATTTCAAATTTCAATTGTTAGCTTTCGCCAATTACCCGAACGTAAACGTTTTGATTTTCTTTTTATTTTTGTTTATTTTTTGTGTGTATATCAAGACAATATGTGTGCCAAGCAGATTGTGAGCCTGGCCAGACCTTTTGTCGCCGTCCCGCAATGAAGTTCACGTCCTGTGCAGCAGCTCCAGCTCGCTGGCTGGGATAATGCTAATCAGTGTCATCGCATCAGCGGCAAAAGTGTTTGGATATTTGTTTAATGAAAGCGAAACGCAAGCAGTCACAGACACATACACAGACACAGGTACAGCCACAGCTCCCTTGGCCTCCTATCGTGCTGCAAAAATCAAGTCATTGGCTTTGGAGCTCGCTCGTCCGACGCGTCCTATTCCCGGGCTGTTTCGTTGGCATGCATTCGTTGCGCAATTAATTAAGTTGAGCATTTTTAAATGTGTTCGCTGCTTGCTGGCTTTTGCGGGTCGGGTGTTACCATTTTAATGCCCAGCGCAGTTCACAGTTCCACAAAGCCAACAGCAACAACAACAACATCTTGAACAAGTTCTTTAACATGTCTAATTAGTTGTTGGACCCTGGACGATGCTGCTCTTGCTGCTGCGTGCGATAAAAAAAATGCATGGCACTCATTTAGTGTTTTCTTAAGCTGAGACATAAATTTGCAAGCAGTTAAAAGGGTCTGAGCTGGCCAAGCGATGTGATTGCTTTTCGCGTATTTTGCTGACCAGATAAAAGACACATCATGGAGCTGCCTGTGATCTCATTTTGGAGCCTATGCTGATCGTACGGGACAGGCCAAATGTGACAGCAGAAGATTTCAGTTATATAATGCATATAGACCCAATGATCTGTAAGTTTATATCTACATTTTGATAGGCACTTTAGAGTAATTTTGCTACAATCATATTTATTGGCAAATTTACTAATTGTTTAGTTAAAGACAGATTGCAAACATAACATAAATTAATACAAATAATAAAATACATAAATATTTTTAAGGCACTTGATTATTTATATAGCTATATTACGATTATTATATTAAATTGCAAAGCTGGGCTTAACAGAGAGTCATATATTTACTTACAATATATTGAGTTTGTTTGTTTTGTTTTAGTTATACAAAATCACGGAAATAATTTGATTTCTTGCATTCATTTTATCATAATTTTTTTTTTATTTATTTATTTTTATTTTTTGAAGAAATATTAGATAAGCAATCTTTAATTATAAATTCCCTAAATGGACTTCTTAAATTTTTAATTGTTAAAATATGCTTCTAAACGAAATTCTTTTGTTCTTCTTTAACTTCTTCGTCTTTAATTTAATTTTTAGGCTGAATTTTATATAAATTATTCAACTTTTTATTAATTTTATAGTTTTATTAAAAATAAAATAGGAAATGAATTTTTAGACTTATGTTTCTCGGACAAGAATAATTTTTATTATTTATATTAGCTTTAGGGAATTAAGAAAACTAAACTCATTTAACTCATTTGAAGATACACTGAACTCCGTGCAGAGCTGACATTCCTATTAGTTGATGCTTCTTTTACACATACATACGTGACGTATAATACACACACACAATCATGCATACAGCACGCGCTCTGCTTGATTCGCATTTTGTGCTTTATTTTTGGCAATTAATTGTTGAATAACTTGTTGTGAGGGAATGAAAATTGTCGATCTCGATTAGGATATTCAGATGTGTGTATTTCTTGGAGCATTAGCCTCTTCTGTTTGAAGTACGTTTTTTTCTGCTAATCTTTGAGGAAGTGGGGGAGGCACGTACTCAAAGTCCAATTATTAGCAATTTATGTATTTATCACAGGAAACCAGATATTACATTTTAAATATCTAAATTGCAAACATAGCATCGTCTGCTGTACAGTTGATAGCATTTGTGTTAACGAATCACAAATTACGATTATGGAATGCGGACTACGGATTGCGAACTGATATGCTATATCGATGCTGTTCGTGAACATACATACATGTAGGTATGTAATATGCATATCTGTATGTGCATATATGGGATCGGTCATGCCTCCTTCTGCCACTTAAATACACTTTCAACTCTCATTTTCAATGAAATTAGATAATAAACTATTCAATATACTTTTACTATACTTTACATTACATTTAATATAATATTTAAAATAAATAATATTTCATCTATATCTAAAATAATATTAAATATAAAAATAACATAAAGTTTATTATAATTCTAATCTAACTAACTTCAACGAACTTCAATTTAATCGAGCATTAAGTAAATAAATATAAACATATAAAATATCGACATATAAGTGGAAAACAATAATTTAAGTAACTGTACTAACTTAATGTATATCATTATTACAAATTTATTATTTGGTAATTATTTCGACTAATTGACTTCTTTATTTTAGTAGACAAACAGTTTTCTAAGAAGTTGGCATTGCCTTATGTAGCCAAGGTTCTGATATTAGCAATTTTAAATATTTTTAAGTACGCTTAAATACAAGTGTTTATTTAAGACAATTAAACGAATTCAAGTGAATAACTAAAAATTATATTTTGTGTGTGTTTTGTGCTAATTGGAATTTAATCGCTGTGGCTCTGCTGCTGCACCTTAACACAGGCGCATTCAGTTGCAGATGGAGATGCAGATGGAGGAGCAGCTTCTGTAGGCAGGTCAAGTCGGGGTTTTGGCAATGTGTTTAGGTTAATAATCGTGTGGCTGTGGCTAATGCGAGTGCAAAGCCATGCATATGCCGTGTCTAGCCACTTGGTGGAACAGTTGGCCGCGTTGGCAGCTCCCAGAATCCGCGAGGTGCGTGTTCCGTCTCTGGCTCTATGTCATTTTAATGGCTGGCGCTGTAAATGACCAATGGGGCCTAAACTGGTTGCAGCAGCTGCGGCCACTCAAAATGCGTGCAAATTGCACCACCAAAGACACGAGAGACAGCCACAGCATGGCTTGGCATGGCTTGGCTTGACTTAGCTTGGCTTGGCCTGGCCTGCTGTCCGCTCGGTAGCCGGCTGGGCTGACAGCGAGCTGGCCAATGGCCAACGGCCAGCGGGACCAGTTCGTTTTTCGCTGTAATTAATCATGCTGCATAAATTAATGTAGCCAGCAGTTAATTAACTTAAGTTTATTTGCCCAGCATTTGCAGGCTGCTGATGAGCCAAGCAGGCCATTTGCCGGAATTACGGGCCATAAACCAAAATCGATGGAACTACAATCAAAACTCACACCTATTGAAAACAACAGCAACAGGCCGAAGCCGAAGTCGAAGTCGAAGTCGAAATGTGCTAATGAGCGATGCATTGTGGCAGCTGCTATTGTGATTTGAGCCGCGGCATTTACAACTTCTGATTGCAACTGCCAGGTGCATTGCCCATTTGCCGTGTAACTCTTTGCTTGGTCTATGGGGAATGCGACCCCATAATTTGGTCGATTGTCAGCCACAACTTCGTCGACTTCGACTTCGACTCCGACTCCGACTCCGACTTCAGTTCAGCCTGTTGGCTGCACCCACTAATTATTTTAAATTAGTTGCCCAACGCGACGTCGCTTTACAACTCTTGCCTCGATTTATTGGCCATGTTGGGGGTTGGAGTTTTGCGATTCTAGCTGCGACACGCCCACATGCCTTTTGCAAACGCCTCTCCACTGTTTGGCCGGCGACAAAGCGGCATGGCTTTTAACATGAGCTCGCTGCATTTCGTGGGGGCGTGCCGGCGCCCACATCACAAGGCTTATTGATTTTGATATAGCTCATCGGGGCAGGTTGTGTGCAATCGGGGTCAAAGGTTAATTGGCTAATTGATCGCACAGGTTGTTCGACGATACCGAGCTTGAACTTTGCAACTTGGGCGCCAAGTGCTGGCATTGAGGGAAAGTGGGCTAGAGAGGGTGTCCAATATTATTTGGTGGGTATTAAAAGTGAAATGAGCACAGCAGGATAATTGTTTTGAGAGAGCGAGCATCTAGAGAGCGCCTAGGCAGAGGGGCATTCCTGTTCTGACAGCTTTAACTTTAAGTTCAATTAAAGTGTCACTGTTATTACTTATAATTACTTGTTTATTATGCATTCATGTTGCAAGCTTATTTTGAATATATGGCTCAGTTAGGTCGATATCTGATATCATCAAATTTCGGGTATTTAATTTCATGATGTGATTAGAATTAGCACATTTACCTAGCACGTTTCCTTATAATGCAAATATAATATATAAGGCAATTCAAAGCACTCTGCGTTCCATCAAATTAGTTTAGGAATAAAATAAAATTTTAGGTGTCTTTTATTCAAAATTTAATCTTGTATTACTTTATAAAATATCAGCTAATATGATCATTTTGCTTACATTAACATTCAAATGAGATTTGAAAGATGTAAACAACAAAGTATCTATTCCTTAAAAAACCCTGAGCTCTTAGACCAAATATCGATTAGTCTAATCGATCAATTGCATTGCATGCAATAAATAACTTGGACAAGTGTTTCAGGCCGACTCAACTCACACGCTATAGGCATGATTCACATTTCTAAAGTGCCCGCTAACAGCGGCTAATCATCATCATCATTACTCAAGGGCCAAGGTAAAGGAAATTTCAATTTTGCTTTAATTATTATTTATAAGAGAGCGAAATATGAAATGCTGCAGTGAGTGCCACTCCTTGAGCTACATTAATTCGAGGGGGGGCGGGGCGAAACAGCGCATTAGGTATTCGTCAAAGTCATGAGCTGCACACCCATACGGGATCATCGGTTCGCTTTGGCTTATGCTCTATTGGCCTCTTGCAGACCCGGACCACCCCGGCCCGGACAGACAGAAAAAAAATCCGGGGAGGGGAAAAACCACTCAAGAGATAAATAAAAGAAATACTTAAACCAAAACTAATTTGGAGAGGTCGGCGCCCAATTTCTTGCAGGCGCCTTTTAATATAAATCGTTTGCCATTCGTCTTGTGTCATTAATTTATAAATATATATAACTAAGGCTGATTCCACAAAAGCTCAACGTTGGCCAGTCACTCACCAAAGCCGCGCAGCTCAGCGCAGCGCCTTGCGTGCGCATTGGGGGCGTGGCTGGATGGACGCCAAATGGGCGCTCATTAATTTCCAGAAAATGAGTTTTCAAATAAAGCCGAAAGCTATTAAATTGAATTCGTCTGTGCTCTCGACTTGGCGTGCTCAAATTTTGCCCTCTAATTAATGTGCATTGCCAAGAGATGTCGGGAAATGCACGCGCCACTAAAAACTTTCCACACGAGCTGCTAAATTCTATTTGCTTAAAATGCCCTTAAACCATACTATATATACAATTATAATTTGTAACGATGTCAGCCCAACAATTCATTAATAACCCTACAGAATAATAGTTTAGCATTCAGACATACAGCTTACTAAATAAGCAATTAATTAAACTATTTATATGGTGGATAAATTTGTTATTAATAGTGAAGGTATAGAAGAAAGCCAAATCAAATGGCGAAAAGCTCCTAAAGCACATTAAAGTATTAAATGTCTTTGCAGCTGATTAAATACGTAATTAATTTGAATATGAATATATTAGGCAAATATGATTAAGTTTTATTTTTGTCATTAAAATTATAGTAAAATTAAAAAAAATATATTATTTTTAATTAAGGGAAGACTCATCAACATTCTACTTACAAATTATTGCTAACATAATAATCATAAATAATAATAAAAAAATAAAGAAAATTAATTTAGGCAAAGTAGACAGGATAAGATAATAATTGTTTAAATTATTAACTTTATAAATCAGTTGAGAGCAGCCTTTAAATGCTTATTATGAAGCCCTCTAATGTGATGTTGGCTAGCATACATGCATACATTGTTTATAGAATAAAATCTTTAAGGTAATTCTTGAACATTTTTCTTGTGATATATTTTTGAAAAAAAAAAGAAAATAAAAGCTAACTCATACATACAAATATCGTTGACAAAAAATACGTTAAAGCTTATTAAGACTGTATTTAAATAGCTTTAAAATTTAATCCAAACCAAAACAAGACAACATTGTTTTGAAGGATGTTTGCATATTAAAAAAAATAAAAATAAAATAAAAATAAAAACATTATTGAATTTGTACTACATTTGTATATAATAATTTTGTTTTGCGAGAGAAGTCTTTTAACAAACCATTTCATAATTTAATATAAAATCAAACGCTTTTAGCAGATGTGTCAGTTGATTGGGCTATGCTAGTTTATTGTATTAAAATTGTCTTGCGGCATTCCGTTTGCATAGACAGCTCTGGGGCTACCCCTGATGTGTAGAGTACATAGATATTACAATTTTGCGTATTCAGTGTAAATTACAATTTTGCAGTCATCCTTGACAGACGGATAGACGACTACTGCTTAGAGCTGCACATGCAACTCCTTCTTGTGCCATGCGAACGAGTATGAAAATGGCTGCTGTACCGCAGCGATCGCATTCCTTGTGGCCAAGCCGTCCAGCTTTCTCCTGGTGCACACACTTCATTTGGGCGCAGTTTGATCTGTGTGTTATTTATGGCTGCTGCAAATTAACTTTTCCTCCTGGCTGTCATGGAATCCAATTTGCCAATTGACGCCCGAACGCATTTGCTGGGCATTTTGGGTCTAGCCTGGCCTGGCCCGGCTCGGGCTGGGCCCAAAAAGTAGTTAAAGCTGGCGACTTGGCGGCGCTCTGCTCATTTCAATTGAATTTATGTGCCGCCAAGAGGCGCCACAAAAATGCAACTAGCCCGTTGGCTCATACATACATAGGTGCCAAGAGCTTGGGAGTCCGAGAGTCCGGGAGTCCGAGAGTCTTCGACCGTGTCTGTCTGCTGATTTATGGCCCAAGCGGAGTCTCCTTAGTGAATTGTGTCAGAAGAATTGGTATTGAACGTATTTGCACTCGTACTCGCACTCGCATTCACACTCCAAGCTGTAGTTGCAGTTCGGCTTCTTTATTAATCGACGGCAGCGCCAATCGACCGCCCACGTTGCGGGCTGGCTCGTAAAATGTGCCAAATGAAGTTTAAACTGCAATTCCGTTTGCATTTGGCTGCCTCCGCATTAGCTACCGCCTCCTGCCATACAAATGGCTGCTAAATAGCAAAAGTCAACAGCAACAACAACAACTAAAAAACAGCAAGCGGCAAAAAATAAAAAACAAAATAAAATAAAACAACAAGAGGCCAACTACCGGGACGCCTACGCTGTCGCCGGCACGTCCGCTGCACTGCAGCATGTGTCAGCCCATCAGGCCGTCCCCCCCTCAATGCCCATGCCCATTGCCGTAGTCATTCCCACTTGAGCTGCTGTTGTCAAATTTGCGCTGCCTGCAGCACTAATGACGCCCTTAATATGCTCCAAGTGCCTGCCTGCCGCTTGCCTGGGCACTGGGCCGGTTCAGAGTTGTTGGCGGTGCGGCTGTTGACTTGGCTGATAGCCATTTCACACTACCTGCCCTTTGCTCCCTCTCACTCTCTCTCTCTCATTCTCATTTGCGCAAATTTGTTTTCAAAGTCGTCGCCGTCGTTGTAGACACGCCAAAATCAAACGAAATACTTTGTCGGCTTTGCAAACATATTTAGCCAAACATTTCAGTTTCTTTGCCCTAACTTGTTTTCAGAAAAAGTTACTTATTGGATACTCTGTTATATGCAGAAAATATATACCAGAGAGACGATTTCAATTGGCAATAGTAATAGATATAAAGGGTTCTTTAGAAACGCATAAAACTTAAAATTTGTATAAAATATTTATCAACTCGACTTTAAGCTAAGATTATTAAGGATTATAAAATAATGCAAATAATAAAATATTTAACTTTTGAGTAATGGGTCTAAATAATTATTTTAATTCGAAGATTTAATTGTCATTGCCAAAAAACCCGATTCACAAAGAAAAATGAAAAACTTGATATAGATATAGAAAATGTTTATACTGCTAGATTGTCAACAATTTATAAGAAACAGAAACTAGTCTCATGCAATGAGTCGAAATAAATAAATAACAAATTATTCTTTCAATAGAGAAAATATCATGATTTAAAGAAGAGGTCGAGATGAAGCTAGGGTTTTATAAAATATAAAAGTTAAAGGTTTTTCTATACAAGACTTATCAAGAGTTTTCTTGCGAGATTTTAAAGTTAAAATTTAAGGAACTTAAGACCCACGATTAATAAAGATCTTCTGAACACATATAATATATAATATGAATTTTAATAATTTTCTTCTGTTTCTATGAGCTGATGTAAGTAATTGTATAATAAATTTACTAAAAATATGTGCCTAAGAAACGTAACTCCCTGAAGTCAGTAATATACATTCAACATTTTCCTTGAGCTATATTTAAAAATAAAATCCAATTCACTTTTCTAGCATTGAGATTCCATTGCTTGCTTGCTTGAATTGGAGCTGCGTCAGTCAGCTGAGTTTCTGTCAAATGTTGATTATTCGGTATGTAGATGTACATATGTAAATAGAATAGCAAGCTAGCGACAGCGACAGCGGCGTTGGCGTGTACGTACCGAGGATGTGTGTATATGCACTTATTGTAATAATAGTAAACCCTTCCGTTCGGCGAAGCCACCTGGACTCACCTGCTCCACGCTGTTGGTCATGCCACTTGCAGTAGACAACTTCATTGTCTGTTCTGGCTTCTGTTGGGTGTTTTGCCTAAATGCCCATAAATTTCGCAACCTATCCACACACACACACACACATACACATAGAGCCATTGGGAAACGCCTCTCCCATACAGACGCCGACACACATACACACGCTCTAATAGCAATTAAGTAATTCTCACATCGTTTATGCAAAATACGAGAATAGTTTTATGCAGTCGACCCCACAGACCACTTCGAGTACCTGTTTGCCACCCAGTTCCTAGTGCTTGCTCGCGTGCAACCTCAACACCCTTTGCTTGTACTCAAGTGGCCCATAAATTGTTGGCCAAGTTTCCACGGAGCACGCCCACTTTTCGTTGCGCTGCTTTGACAACGGCAATTACCTTGAACTTTCGTCTGGTTCAGTACACAGCTCTGGTCTTGGATCCGTATCGGGGGCGATTCAGTGGAAGCTCTCTCAAATCAAAAAAAAAAAAAAACAAAAACGAAATTTATTTTTATTGTACTTTGGGTTAGCTGCCGGGCACGAGTCGCTGGCATTTCCACAATTCCTTCTTGCTCACTCGCTCACCACTATCGCCATCTCGCTCTGCCCGTCTGTCTGTCTGTCTGCCGTTTCGCCGGTTTTTGTCAGTTTAATTTTTTGGTTTACTTCACGTTGCAGTTTAAATGACGCCAAATTGCTGGGCCATTAGCTGCCTGCTCCATATGCATATTGCGGCAGTCGGCCGGCGCCCCCGGGGCACTCAATCCTTATTTATATATAGTAGTAAATAATTTTGATAGTCAATCGTTTGCATTTTAATATCAATTTCGCATGTATTGCTCGGCCATGGATGTCTGCTGGGCATCCAATCAATTCGTCGTTCCATCACCGACTGACGTTTATTTTTTGGCCGCTTTATGAGACCGTAATTCGTAATTCGAAATACGTAATTGTTGATTGCATTTTTACTGTCAACGTTTGGCACACAGCCTACCCAAATGGCTCGGAAAAGGGGTACGGACCACAACAACCATCAACCATCAACAACAACTCAATAAGGGCGCTTGTTAGCATTTGGAAAGTCATCGAAATGTTGACTGTTTGCTCGTTGGCAGCTGATCGATATTTATTATGGTCTCGTTAACGTTTGCGGATTATTGAATAGAGAAAGGGTGCCAGGCTGCCAGCTAATAGCAAATTGCTTACTTTGCCTTAGTAAAAACTAACCGGATCGAGTTGGTTTATCTTATATATTAATTATCTGCAATTGTGCTCAAACTTCAGCCTGTTCTGTTAATTCAAATCCTTTGCTGAACTTTTTATACCCTGAACCCATTTTCAATGGGAAATCAGGGTATAATGGTTTTGTTAAAGGTATGTAACAGGCAGAAGGAGGCGTGGCAGACCCCACAAAGTATATATATTCTTGATCCGGGCGACGAGCTGAGTCGATTTGGCCCTGTCCGTCTGTCTGTCCGTCCGTTCGTCCGTATGTATGAACGCGTCGATCTCATTTGGTTACGCCCTGAAAGTTTCATTAAGATTGTACGTCTAAAAATTAAATTATTCAACAAATAAATTCTTATAATGTTGCCCACACTACAGCGCAGCCCAAGCGCAGTCGCTGCTTACTGCGCAGTTAGCAGAGCGCGTTCTAATACGTGCGTGTGTATGTATGTGTGTCGAAAAGAAGTGCAGACTGATTAGAATATCAGATTAAAGGGTTCAGGGTATATCCTAGTCGAGCAGTCTCGACTAGAGTCTTCTTACTTGTTCAATATAATTTTCCTTTAGTTTAGCAGAATAGTAAATCATTTTCATAAACTACTCATTTAGAGCAGGTAAAACCGGCGATAGTACCATCGATAGTAGCGATGGAAATTCAATTTTGCGATAGTTCAAAGGATCTCGTTCGATGTCGATATATCGTTTCACTTAGTGGTCAAACTATGTAACCATCACAAGTATCGATTGCTGAAATCATCGAGTAGAGTGAAACCATCGAAAGGAGATTTCATCGCTGATTTCGCAGCTCTAACTCACTTTCTACTTTCCGTTCAAATTGAAAGCTGCAAGAAATATTTACTCATATTCAGACTCAATCTCAAGTCTGGTCTTTGCTAATTTATAATATGTATATATATATGTATATTAAATTAATTTATACACTTTAACTTAAGTAATTTACAAATCAAAGGAACACAAACTAGCTGACACTTTAGGCCAATCGAAAGCAACTCCGAATTTCAATGGGCATTACTGCTTTTCATGCTCTCTCTCCCGAGATCGTTCCCGTTCTCGATCTCTCTGCCGCTCCCGCTCCTTCTCAAGCAAATACATTTGTTGCTGTTGCATGAAGTGTTGCTGCTGTTGTTGTTGCTGCTGCTGTTGTTGTTGCAGGTGTTGCTGATGATGGTGCAGCAATTGCTGTTGCTGCTGCGGCGTTAAGACGCCTGCCTCGTTCTGCTGCTGGAGCAACTGTTGCTGGTGCTGGGCAAGCTGCTGCTGGAACTGTTCGCGCAGGCGCTGATGCTCCTCAGCATCCAGGTCGCTGCCATAGTCGTCCATGTCAATCACTTCGTCCTCGTCATCCTCCTCAATGTCCTCGTCGTCCTCCACATCCGTGGAGCTATGCTGGGAGCCATCGTGTTTGGCATCCTCGTCACCATCGCAGCCGGCGCCACCGCCGCCGCCCGAGGAGCTGCCCTTGTTGCTCTTAGCATCGCTGCTGTCGCCGCCCTCTTGTTGCATGCGCTTGTGCTTGGTGCGGCGGTTCTGGAACCACACTTTGACCTGTCCGGGCGAGAAACACATAAACTTCAATTGAGTTTGGCTCACTTAAGTGCGGTGCACTGATTGGGCCGCTCAACCCTTTGCGACGGGTCGGCAGCTCGTAAATAAATTTAACGAGTCTTTTAATTCTATTTATCTGCCTGCCTGCGCCTGCCGCCCAGCTATGCCCAGCTATGCCTAGCTATGCCCAAAGGACGGTCTCTCCGCCCAGCCGCTGGTGCTCCCTCTTAGCGCTAATAACTTGGTAACTCCCGGCACTTGGCGAGTTAACTACCAGCTGACATGCAATCACTTAACGCTCGGCCAGGGGTTGCTCCACTCCAGCCCGGGGTTGAGCCTGGCCAATTGGGCAAGGCATTTATTGAATTTGATGCGCATTAAGCGCGGCCATCGAAAGGGTTGCACGGCCTCTTACGGCTTGGAGTTTGTCTGCCCTGCTTACCTGTGTCTCCGTCAGGCTGAGTCCCTGGGCCAGCTGCTTGCGCTCCGCTCCCACCACATAGTGATTGCCCTCAAAGGCGTGCTCCAGCTTAAGCAATTGCGTGGGCGAGAAGGCGGTGCGCACCCGCTTTGGCTTGCGAAACGGTTGCAGCAGGAAGTCTGTAAGGGTTGTTCACATAATAAATAAATCAGATATAATACTTAAGCATATCGCTACGATGTGATCAATTAATAAATTCATTGCTGATATATTTAGGAATAAATTTGACTTAAATTAAAATTATATACAAATTGAGATGTTTGCTGCCTTTGGATATTCAGTTAGATCCTACCAAAAAGGCTTAAAATGAACATTAAGTATTATAAGAAGTAGAGTCATCTCTGTTCTGTAAACAACTCAATACAGTCGAGACACCCAACTCATTGGCCTAGGATTATTCACTGTCCCAATTGCCTAATGTTCGAACACACAAAATCTTATTGTCACAATATATCCTATATTGAGGTTTGTATTACTCCACATCAATTTGAGTTAAGCCGAAGGACTTGTCTGTATAATATGCAGTGCTCCTAGTTTAAATATTTCGAAGACTGTACTCATTTGCGCCTAAATCATCACCTACACCCGCCTCTAGTTTTCCCTTTTTTCAACCCTGATCTTATTGCGCATCTACTCACTAATCAAGACTCCACAAACTCTTATATCCACACCACTTCAGTTGCCCCTTCATCATTATTATCATGACATCATATATCAACATCGACTTCAGTTAGACCATAGATTCACTTAAATTCTAGATATTATAAATTGCAAATAATTCTTTAAGAAAGAGTCTTAACTGATTTATAAAATACACTTTCTATTACAAAAAATTTCCATCAAAGTGCATGTTCTCGAAATTTCCATTGATGGAATTATCCACAGGTTGTTCTTAGGAATAAATGTGGAATAAAAGCTCAGTTAATAAAGTAAACAAAAATTTATGTATATAATGTCGGAATTATAGCTTAGAGCTACGTAGAAGTTAAGTTGAGGTTTTAATCTTTATATTTTAATATATTGAAGTTTCATTTCCAACTGTACAATAATGGCTGGAACTCTTTAAATTATTTTAAGCGATCAAATTTGAAATGTCAAATGTTATTTAAGTTAGAAAATAAGTAACCAAAAGGCAATCAATTAGACCATGACATACAGGTGTGCATGGCAAAGTATTTGCTAATAAGGTGAAAGCACAATATGGAGAATAGGCCTTTAATAATGGGAACTACATGTTCAAACAGAGCGTAAAATGTGCTGCCAATTAAACTAGTTAATGACAACAACTAAAGTAGCCACGTTTCAGTCACCATTTCGGAATTGTGTTGCCATTTTGCGAGTTCCCAGTTCCACTTGACTTTTAAATGGCTTTCATGCCGAGGTGGAGCCAGAGCAACCACTGATAAATTTTCCATGCATGACGGGGCGAGTGGCATTTTTTTTTGGTTTCAGTGTTGTCATCGCAAGTGTTGAAAAGCATTCAAATATGGCCGCCAGTGGGAAATGGCTCGCACAGCGTGACCGGCACATATTTGGCGCTATAATTTGGTAATTACGTGTAGCCAGTCCGTCAGCCAGTCGAACCACCCGACTGCCTTGGCATATGTATATGTATGTTGGCGGTGCTGCTGCCGTTGGTTCTGCCAATTAGGCGACATGGCCCTCAATTTGCTGGTTATGATTTCCGCGAATGCCGTCGCCGTTGCCGTCGCTGAAAGATGCCGCAAATTCAGGCCTGCTAAACTCATTACAAAACAATAAACAAATTTCCAGACATGGGCCTGAGCACAGTGAAAACAAAGGCCGTGTGGATCGTGCCGCAACGGCTGTCGGCGTTGGCGCTGTGTCTGCCATGTCTCGACATCGCTGATAAGCGAAACAATTGCGCAGAAGCCGCCACAGTGAGCCTGGGATCGGGGATCTGGGATGTGTGCCTCGGCCGGGTGCTGTCCTCGGCCAAGTTGAACGCCAAGTTGAACACTTTAGCGCGCCTAAATGTCGACAAAAGCCGCCAACGACGCCTCCTTCTCGGCTCGCTGTGGCCCATTGTTTCCAGTGCGGGCAAGGCACTCGCACAACGTGATATTTTGACGTTTATCACGATTTCTGGAATGGCTGTGGCTGTGGCTGTGGCTCTGGCTGTGGCTCTGACTCTCTCATCTCACGCGACGACGCTGCGTGAAGTTAGCAAAATTCGAATTGAGCCACAATTTGAATATTGATTTGGTTCGGGATATGAGCTCGCTACTGTGCGAGAGATGATGCCGAGATTTACAGCAGCCGGCAGGGCACATCTATGCCATAATTATAATGATTAAGTGGGCACCAAGAGATGAGCCGGCATCACCTGCAGGAAACTGCTTTTAGCTTGCGACAAGCTGAGCCCATTACAAAATCAATATTGACATTGCAAATTGAACTCTGGCAGCTCAGCCAACAGGATATTTAGCTCAGGGCAACAGCAGCAGCAGCTTAGCCCAGCTCAAAGCAAACAAAAACAAATGGAAGAAGGGCTGAAGATGGAGAGAGAGGGAGAGCAAGAGAGAGAGAGAGAGAGAGGCATCAGATGAGCCCTTTCTCAGGCGATTGTGTCGCATTGTGTTTTGTATCTTGTTAGCGTCGAACGCCTAGCTAAACGGAACACAACAAACAACAGCGCGCAGCTCGCTGGAACTTGTCAGTTTGACACTTCATAAATGCAACCACGCAGTGGTGCGTCTAGCCTGCCACCGATGCGTGTGCCCCGCCGAACTTGACAAACAATTGCCACAGCCGTGATCCAGTTTTTTATGCTGCGCCGTTTGCCTGACATTTGTTACATTTGACAGCTAACAACGCCGGCTACAAGATGCCGCAGCAGCAGCAGCAGCAGCAGCAGCATCAATTGCAACTGCAACTGCCACTGCCACAGGCCATTGCAATGGCAACGACAACAACTGCTCCTAAGACTATAATTGATAGTGTGCGCCGCACAATGGCTACTTAATTATTTTTTCATAGACTGTCCCCAGTCATCGATCTGGACGCAATGTATCTTTGAATGAACTGCGCGGGTTGCGCGTTGACTTGCCTTCGCTTTGTTGTAGCTCGTATTGATACCCTTATAAAGAGTATAACAGATTTTTCAGGAGATATGTAATGGCAAATATTTGTGATCAGAAAAGGAAGATATTTATTGGATAGGAATGTAGAAGTCAATTTAATTTCTATACCAACTATAATTGACTTAAATGACGAAAGCCTCTAATAATGTCTAGTGGAACTAAATGACTTGTGGGAAATTACTTGTAAATGTTACCTATGTATTATATAAAGTTTGTCCTTAGCTTATAGGTTTATGAATATATTACAAATGTGTGTTACAAATGTTGTTGAAGTTTGTTGCTCATACATCAAGTAAAATACATTGGACTAGATAATATCTATAGGTATATAAATATAGAAAGAATTTAGATGACAGCTGTTACTCATATATCATATAATATAAATAATATCCATCTATTTATCAATATTTGTCTTCTGTATTAGCCCACCAACTAGTTAAACCAACCATTATGTATAATAAACTTGAACTAGTTATCATTTGAAATTCCATCTATAAATTAGTATGATCTTACTCTTATATGTAAATGGGGGAGTCTGTGATATAGATAACTATATGTAACTAAATCTGTATATCAAATTGCTAATATGATAATATTTATAATTTACTATATTCCTTTGCATATTAGCAATAGTTCTCTGATCTCATTGAATACTTTGACCCATATGAATATTTATACTTGATTATAATAGATTAAATTTTATTTTCGCTCAACAAACTTGTTTGTTTATGAAATTCATTCATTCAATGAAACTTATGTCACATGTCAAAATAAATTAATGAACTTAATGAAAATAATTTGAGAGAAAACAGTATATTAAAAATAGATAATTATATTAGCAAAATTAGTAATATACATATCACAATACCTAATTATAAGCATAATTATGTTAGTTAAAACATTATTATAGCACAGTAAATGAGTTCGTTTATGCAATTTATTAATGCAAATTTTTTCCACATGTCAAAATTATTTAATAACATTTTTTGAACATATTTTAATAAATATCAATAATTAATTAAGAAAATAAAATACACGAAAAAAATCACGAGTTGAAAAAAAATTATAAAAAAATATATAAATATTGTATAATATATATATAGTTCATATATATAATATATATATATAGTTCAGAGGTGCGCAAGAGTATTTCATATTTCGCTTTTCCTTCTTTTTTTATAGAGGGCCAAGCACAAAGAAACCGCCGTGCGAAAATACGCGCAATTGACAATTAATTGATGTGTCCGCTTTTCTGTTGCTGTTTCATTGCTGTTGTTGTTGATGTTGTTGCTGTTGTTGCTCACACCCTTGTCAGCTGTCACTTATACACACATATATGTAGTTTTTTATGATTAAAGTGTTGCCTTAGTGCGCATTTTCAGCTCCCTTCGCACCACTCTGATCGATCGTTGGCTCTGCGTGGTTTTTGTCCATCTTATTATTTATCACTTTATATACAATTGCAGTTTTTTGTTGTTGTTGTTGCCTGTTTTTTTTTCTTTTTATGAGTTTCGGCTTTAGTTTTATGCTCTCATGATTTTTTCATTAATTTATTGGCATTCGCTGCTAGAATTGCAATTACCCTCGCAGTACATTGACATTGGCAGATAAAATCAGAGTTGAAATCGAAATCAAATATTCTGTCAGTCAGCGATAAGAGCTGATCTTTTGTAGTGGCCATAAAGTGAAACGTGTTATCAATGGAAGATTGATCGTTAGCTTGAAATTCTATTCGGGTGTTGAAATCTAAAGTTTGTTTCTGATATATATGTACATTCATATATCCAATTGAACTTGTAGGGTATCTATTCCAGAGCTTGATTGATGCATGTACAGGAATCTCTTTGTAAATAAATATTTAGTATAATGGCGAGTCGAACAATTGCTACAAAAGAAGCAAATCGATCTTAACTGAATTTAATAAAATATTTTAAAGGTATATACCAAAGTGTAGTAACTATAATTTAATAAATATTTATGACTTTTCGGAAATATAATAGTATATATTGTATCATATCATGGTGGGATCTTGAAGAAGAAGGCTTGTTTTGTTGCTGCAACCTGTTGGGAGCATCTGTAATTAAGCTGTCATCATAATTATCTTCTTGATCTTTGGCGCTATAGACCTCTTTCTGCCCTGTCTGCCACAAAATGACGCGCACGAGTTGCACTGAGCGAAGCACTTACAATTAATGAAATCGTTATGCGAAACATTGACATTTCCATTTTCACGTTCATAAATCAAGCGAAAATTACAGCACTTAACTAACGATACAGACACAACAACAACAACAACACTCGAGAACAGCAACAACAATATACTTGGAGAGCAAACTCCGCCTGCTTTTTTATAATGGAACATCATACAACATAATTAAGGCGTAACGAGGTCCGTTGAAAGCAGGTGAAAGGTGTGTGAGTGTGCCGAAAATAATGTAACCCAAATATACGAAAAAAATAAACACACACACACGAAATAATTCTTAAACTCATGCGAGAAATGGCGCAGCATGAAAATTCAAATTGTAATTATAAGAGTAGAGCAAAAGAGCGAAAGAGAGAGAAAGAACAACAGAAGTAAACAACAACAAAATGTAGCATAAAAAGGCTAAATAATAATAAATGACAATGTTGTGAGACGCATGCGGTTGGGATCACTCTGCATGTGCACGTGAAGGGGCGGCCGGGCGGGTGAGCGTAGATGAGAGACGAGAACTGGGAACGGGTAACTCGTAGCTCGTAACTCGTAACTGGGAATTGAAATTGGTCTGGCGATGGGTTCGTTTGCTTGGATGCCCCAAAACCTCAATTAAAAACGCATTAACATTTCACTCGTTGCACTTTTTTGCCGTGTGCAGGTATGTGTGTGTGTGTGTGTGTGTGTGTGTGTGTGAGTGAGTGTGTGTATGTATGTGTGTGCCTTTGTGTTATACATACACCGTAGGGGCTCTGCTCAGTGAGTGGCGCCGTCGCTTTCAAGCGCCATTAATTGGTAATTTTAAGTCCACACACATATACACTCATATACACACACACACACACACTGGCACACACCCAATACACACACGCACAGCTGGCTGGGTATTTAGGTACGCTGCTTGACCTAACGATGTGTGTAATGTTGTTTAAACAATTTAATTAAAATGTAATTTGTTTGAAAATACTTATGAAAATGGGTTCGGTTCGTTTCAGTTCGGTTTGGTTTAGCCCCTTGCCCACCCTCTGTCCCCCCCTGCTGCTCGCTGCCCCACACCCTCGCTTTGACGACTCAAAATGGTCATTGCCTTCTCCAGCTGCTGCTGCTGCTGTTGATGACGATTACGTCGATGATGATGATGATGATGATGATGATGATGATGATGATGAGGCTGATAGACGTCTAATTAACTTGTAATAAATGCTTGCAATTTACTTATTTAACTTTAATTATAAGGTGCAGCAACAACAACAACAACAACAGCAACAGTTGCTGCTTATAAGTGAGTTATTGCGTGGTTTGAGCCGAATAACCATTTAGTGGTTCTCCACTAATTCTCTCTTCTCGCAGCTTGCCTCAGGCCTAGTGCCCTTCGAAAGTTTACATTGTAGAAGGTCGAGCCTGATTCAAATTACAACTTAGACTTTAGAGTTATTTCTAATTGCCTAAATAAGGTTTTGTTTGTGGCTTGATGTTTGCTGTTTCTAATATAATGAAAACCGAAATATCAAAAGCTGACCAATGCCTGGACTACGTAATACTCAAAGCTTTTATTAATTGAGCATATAAAAGTTGTCTGAGTAGAGCTAGAAATTCCAGGGGTTTAGTTCTACAAATTATATACAGAACTCATCAATTATATTTTGAAATAAATTGATTTGATTGGACTTTAATTTACTATTTTTAGGTAATACGACACGATCGAAGTACAACCTACCGATTTAGCGTTCAGGAAGGAGTCTGTCCCCAATATATTTGCTCCAAACATATATTGTTTATTTTGTATATATGTATGTATTGTTAATACAACAGAGAAATACCGGAAATATTATTATACGTCCGTCAATGCGGACATTGCATAAAATCAATATACAATATATTAAACATAAACTTGGATATAATTAAAATATTTAAAAATTTGATTGTCTATTTGGTTTCTGATGAATTGCTCCATTGTCTCCGTTTGTTTGCCTTGTGTTTTGTTTTATTGTCTCACAGATGAGAGAAAGATGCAAACTGGTTTTGTACTAAACTAATTTTGATTGTGCTCAGTCTGAAATTTGAAACTTGAAAACTTGCATAGAGCCATATTTTACATCAATTTACTAAACGAAAAATGCGTGTCCCAAACTATTGTATAGGCATTGCAAAATCCATTAAACTAAACGAAATATATTCGTGACTTAGAAATTGTTAAGATTAATAAATCGCGAAATACTTCATATGATATTACCGAATTGCTGGGGAATGTGTTGGCAGCCCAATATAAGGAATGTTATGTATTATGTATATCTACGCTCATTGCGGCGGCAACTATTTACTTTGTTGAAATCGAGAAATTCTTTCTAGAAAATAGAAAATCGGGAAACTTCAACTCAACAGTTACGGCTTATGCAAAATACTAGAAAGTAGTTGACTGTTTTTTTTTTTTTTTTTTTTTTTTAGTTAATAGCATCCAACTGCAATGTTATTGTTTCATTAAGTTTTGACGTATCTTAACTGATCTATTAAGAAATCTTTTAAGAAAAATCCATACCAAACTTAAAAACCCTGAGGATTTTATATACATAAATTTGGTTGCATAAATGGGTATATACATATTCCCGACATTCCATCGGGAACTGGTTCATTGAGCAAGAGCCCATTATTGGTTCGACTACTTACTGCCTGGAAAACGTGGAAATATGCGTCCATGTCGGCTGAGCAGCCAGGGATAGAGCGGATAGCTGTCACGTATTAGATGAGGAGCGGCCACAAATGGATGATGACCATGAGGCGGTGGATGTCCTGGATGGGGGCCGCCTGGAAATATGCCCAGCGGATGGCCGGGCATCAGATGCGGTGGTGGCGGCGGGCCATGATGTGGCCCCGTTGGCACAGGCGGATGCTGAGGATGTTGCTGTTGTTGCTGTTGCTGCTGTTGCTGGTGATGATGGTGCGCCAAGGCGGCGGCCATTTGGAACTGGGCGGCGAGAAAAGGTGGAGGCGGTGCCGCTGTGGGTCGAACGGGTGATGGGATGCCGGGCGCCGTTCCCGTAGGTGAAGCACTATCCGTGGAGCGTGGAGCACCAAGTAGCGTGAGATTTGTTGGAGCCGGCAGCGGAAGCGGGCGAATGAGTCCGGGCAGCGTAATGGGTGCAGTGGGTGGTGCCACAGACGCAGCTGCAGCTGGGGAAGGGGACCGGCTGGCCGGCGTGGGCGGACTTCGTGAACGGTCATCCAAGGAGGCCCGTCGCCGGCAATAAATGAAGCCGCGTGGTGTTCGCCTCTCAATGGAGGGTGATGTGGCGGCGATCACTGGGCTGTCGCCTCGTGGCGAGGCAATAACAGTCATGCGCTGCGGATGAGTCGGCGTCTTCGCTGGCGTTGATGGCTCGGCGCCGACTATGGAGTCAATGCTGAAGGCCAGCTTTGGCTTGTTGCTGCTGTTGTTGTTGTTGTTGCTGCTGCTGCTTGTGCTGGAAGAGCAATTGACACCGGTGGCTGAGGACGATGCTGAGGCGGACGGAGCTGTTGTGGAGCTAACGGACACCACAAAAGGATTCGTCGGCGCCATCGGCAGCATGTTGAACGTTTGACGACCGCACGTGACCATTTGGCACGACGATGTTCAGAGATTCGATAGTTGGATAATGGAAAACACCGCACGAGGGTCAAACAATGAGCACAACAGATGGGTCAGTTGGATCGGTGCACACACATACACACACGCACACGCACACACACTAGTGAACGCGTAAGCACATAAATAGATCAAGAGTTTGGTTTAATGCATCAGCGATTGGCATCCGTCGTTGACATTGATATAGTGGAGCGCATCGGTGCTGGTGGTGCTGCTGCTGCTACTGAAGCGTGGCCGTCGCACTTCACTGGCGAATTGACAGCGGTGGCTACGGCAGCCGCGTTGACAACGTCCATTGATTGCGGTCGTCGCGTTGATGAGCACTGTCAACGCCATTAGCATTATGCGAGAGCAGCTAAAGGCGTCTAATTGCCGGCAGAGCGAGCTGTATGTGCGACGCTGCCCGCTCTTGGTTACTGGCTGGGTCGGGGGGTACCTTGCTGCGGGGGCGTCGGCAATTTGGAGTCTCGTGAAAATCGCTTCTCAGTGCGTTACGTCGCGTGGCGGTTGCCGCAAAACGCGCGCGCGAATGTCTGCCACAAAATCACGGAATCAAACTGGCTGTCGCTTCATTTTTTTCCGGGCTGGCACTGGCATTCCAGCGGAGCTGCGGATTTGCTGCGCCCTATTGTTGTCTCGCTCGCCCCCAATGCGCGTGGCGCATGCGCCAAAGCAGCGCAGATAAATGGAGTGCTCAAACCAGCTCCCAGCACGCTGTATGTGTATGTGCGTGTGAGTGTGCGTATGTGTGTGTATGTCGCTGTGTTGTGACCACTCGTCAGTCTGGTCCACTTTTGGCGCTCTCTCGCTCTCACTCGCGCTCGCGCTCGCGCTCGCTCTCTCTGCCTGGCTCTTGTGCTCGCGCTCTCGCTCTGGGCTTGGCTCTCACCGCGGGGCAGCGCTTGGCCATTTTTCGCACCAGTTTATGACAGCGAAACAAACAATTTGCGCTAAACAAAACAGCATCATTAAAGCGTTTGTGGTTTTAGTGCCCAACTAGCTGCTGGCAGAGAGAACTCTGCTGCCCGTAATGCGGGGCGTACTTTGAAAATGGGCAGTCAGCGTTTATTGGCACAGTGGTTGCTGAGTGCGTGAGAAACTGTGAATTTCGAGCGAGTTGGGCTTGGAATGAAACCAACTATATTTATATGAATTGACATCTTCTATTAAATACAATATCATATATAATATATAGATTTGTATACCATACTGTATCAGCATAAGACTAGCATTTGTATATAAAATTTTTAACGTAGGATTATCTATACTAAAACACCTTATTTTTATTATTTATAGCTCCTGAAGAGAAATTTAAAAAAAACTTCTTTCTTATAAAAAAAAAAAAAATAACTAAATAAATAAGAAAATGTAGATAAGTAATGTACCAAAAAAATGCAAAAAAAAAAAAACAAATAAAATTTCTAGTAAAAGAAATTATTTAATTTATTTAATCATTTTATGTAATAAAATTTTTTTTCTTTCTGCAGAGAAAAACAAATAATTTTATTTCAAAATTATTTTATTAATACGTTTGTATCCACTCTCTAACTGCGCACTTTATAGAACTGTAACTGCAACATATTTATATCAGTTTAATTTGTATATTTAATTTTGATGGGCTTTTTTTTTAGCCACATAGCAAACTTTGTTTTTTCGAACCATTGTAGTCACCTTTCTGCGACGGCGTCAGCATCATTGCTTATTTCCATAGACGCCCTGCCGTCAAAGTGGTGCCCCTCAGCTGGCCCCACTCCCTGCCCCTGGCTGCACAAAGTATTGCACGAACTGCATCGTCATCGGGCATCGAATCTTCATCATGTTGGCGGCCCAAGAGTCCAGCATGAAAATGGGCGGGCCCTCGTTTTCTGCACCTTCAATAAAGAGTACAATACACATACACAGGGATTTGCTCTCGCACTCACACACACGCACACACACATATACACTCAGATGCCTTGGCCCTGAGAGTTGTGAAAATAAACACCTCGTTAAAGCTGCAGCAGAGGCATAAAACATGCAGCGCCAACTTCGACATCGTCATCATTGGCATTGCCATAGGTAAATCTATATATGAGCCGAGTCCAACCACTCCAGCCCGCCCACCGCCCAGCCCAGCCTCGTCCGCCGCCTCTGCCCAATTCGGACGCTCGACAGCCGTCCGAGGCTGGCAAATAAATTGACGTGCGCTTTGTGTTGGATTTGTATGCATCTAGATAAAGTTTCCTGGCTCAGGCGGCGACTCCTGCTGCTGCTGCTGCTGCTGCTGCTGCTGCTGCTGCTGCTGCTGCTGCTGCTGCTGTCGTCGCATCTCTCGTTCTCCTGCTCTGGTTCTGGTTCTCTGTTCCTCTGTCTGGCTCCTTGCAGTAACTGCATTTGTGCAGCACTCTCCCTCTGTGAGTGTGTGTGTGCGTGTGTATGAGTATATGTTTTTGTGGCACCTTTGGGTGCGGTAATTGTAATTGGTTTTTGTTGCAGCTGGATTCGGATTGTTGTTGTTGTCGTTGCTGCTGTTGCTGTTGTCTGCTGCAAAGTGTTGGCTGCCTCACGTTTCGGGATAAATCATTTAATTAGTCAGACAATGAGTTGCAGGCTCCATCTTCTTCTGCTTCTTCTTCTTCCTCTGCTTCTTCTGCATTTTCGACGCCATTGCTGTTTTAGCAAAGGTCAACGATGTTGTTGTTGTTGCTGTTTCTCGCACTGCCAATGGGCAGAGGCGTGTTCATTGACTTTTTACTGTAATTGAAATATGACTAAGGCAGCGGCCAAATGCAATAATTAGCTTTGTTTATTGTTTGCATGTGATTATTTGATATCGTTGCTGGTACGCCCATCGCCTGCAGCGCCTCGATTATAAATTCACATAATACAGAATATGCACACACACACAAATCCCGTCTATTTTGCAAGTAATTAAAGGTAATTTGTTTCAAAATTAACAAATTTAGGTAGACAATTTGAATACATAATGAAAGTCAAAGTAACAGTATTTATATATTGAAATAAATGAGTGCAAATGTTCGTAAATTTGTATATAAAACGTTCTCCCTAGCCTAGCACTGCACTGTATGCTGAATACGTTCCACAGGCCGAGACTTCCACGTTCCACACTCACAGCGCAGATAACAAGCAACCAATAAACGTTTCCCATTGGCTGACGGCTTGCAAGAGCGTGCGAGTGAGTGCGAGCGAGCAAGCGAGAGTGACAGAGAGCGTAACTATCTAAAGGGGCGGCTATGTAGCAAAGTGAGCAAGTGGGAATTACAGTTGTTGTTGCTGCCGTTATTGTTGTTGCTCGTGTTGTTGCTGTTGCGGCTGCTGGCAACATATAAATCCAATTCATTTAATAATTGCCAACGAGATGGAGCTCATTATCAGGAGTACTTTGCACGGCTTTGCCAGAGAGTGAGAGAAAATGGAGACCCCCTTATGTATGCCTCTGTGTCTGTGTGTGAGTGGTGGTATCTGGTTGGATATCGCTGTCACTCTCTAGTTACAGTTAGAGCCACAGCTTTAGCATCCCCCTGCTCGGCTTCCTTTGCGGATGAGGTACATAAATTTGAAATCAGAAGCGAATTGATTGCGTTGCCTAAGAGTTTTGTGCTAATGTGTGCACTACCCCACTCTATGTATATATACGTGAGTGTGTGTGTGTGTGAGAGTATGTATTTATGTATATGTATGTGTGTCTCGTTAGCGTTTTCATTAGACGCACAAATGAGGAGCCAGCGACTGTCTCATCTCTGATTTCTGTGCTCTTCTGCCCGCCCGGACCGGAGGCTGGGCCAAGGCATGAGCAGCGGGGGCAAGTCTAGGGGCCGTTAATGGCGATGATGGCGGCGGCATCTGAGTGTCAATTAAAGCAGCAGCCTTTGTTGTTGCTATTGCTGGTGCGGCTGCTGCTGCTGCTATCGCTGCTGCTGGTGGTGTCCGTCTGGGCGGCTCTTTAGCGCATCATAATTGGGAGCAATGGCTGCGATTGTCAGGGCTGCGGCTCTCACTGTTGACACAACTAATTGGTATTATTTGTTTTAATAATTGAGCATTTTTGGCGATGCTGTCACACGGAGTGGCAGAGATTTAATTAAAATTCTCTTCCAAAAAGGGTTCCCATATTTCACTTCTATGTTTTTTTTTATGCTCATTGTTTGCTCTTGGCGGAAGTAGCAATTTAATTGAATTTTAATGGCGCGGATTTGAGAGCCGCGTGACCCGTCGAACTTCCGATTGCCGTCGCTAAGCTTGCGACTTAATTAAATGCAAATAAATATTTTGGATTTGCTGTGCAGCCGATTGAGCGCTTAGTTCAAGATCAAACAGATCTGACAGTGCGGAGCAATGGCAGCTACTGCTGCCAGGTTTCAGCTCCGAGCGTGTGTTTAGCGCAGCAAATCCGAACTTAACTTGGAATTTGTGCGCCTCAAAGCCAGTGGAAATCCGAGATCAGCGCTGGACTAACGCTAGGATCACCAGAGATTGTTCGCTGGACGCGTATTTAATCCAATTATCGATGGCCAACGCTCGCGGCTCATCAATCCTTTCCTTTCCTTTCCTTTCCATTCCTTTCCTTTCCTCAAACAATTAGATGCTGACTCGATGTTATGAGTAGGCGGTCCAGGGGATTAAGCGCGCGTAAGCAATGGGCGCATCCCTCAGCTACCGAAGGTATACGACTTCAGAGGCATCGGCATCGGCATCGGCATAGGCATCATGCGGTCCCTATGGCAAGAACAGATTATCGGCATTACCGCAATTATGGAACTTGGGCAGGTCCTGGCGTAATTTCAATGCGGTTTTCCGCCGATAAGCGTGTCCAATCGAACAACACCTCTACCTGGACTGGAGTGCCCGTGACTATAATTTGAATAGAAATGCATTGACGTGAAATGGAAGAATTCGAGTGAATAAATGAACCAAAAGTACGCTAAAATTATCAAAATGAATAATATACGAATATACGAATAGAATAGAGGATATACGAGCATATGATAATAAATAAAAGAATAAATTGAATAGCAGTATAGTTTTTAAATACTTTTTGAAGATTTCAATACTTTTCTCTCTCTCACATTGTTGCTTTCTTTTCTCTCATTCTCTGTGCCCTTTTGTTTCGTCGTTTATGGCTCTTTAAGTTGTTCATTTAACGCTTTGGAGCTTTTCACATTTTGAAATTGACAGCGTCGTCAGCTTTTGCCCCTCCACTGTCGCCACGCCCCTTTCAGCTTTGTTTGAATTTAATGCCAATTCGCTTTGCATAATGAGCTAATAAAATATTTGGCGTGCATCCCACGCTTGAAGCGAATTGCGCTAATTTGCGGCAGTTGTCGCGCCTCGAATCTGAATCTGAATCCGAATCCGAATGTGAACCTGAATCCGAATCTGAATGTAATTTCAACCAGCTCTACATGCTACCCACTGGCTGTCAGACCGTCGCCACTTGCCACACCCAGGGGTTTGTCAGAAACCTCATTAAATAATGAGCTTCGTTTGAAAGCTGAGCGAAATTTTAATTAATCAACTTATCCAAGATCAGTGCCCGCTCGCTTTCGACTTCGGCGCCCGTG